GCCACCTAGCATCATAGCCAAAGGTTTCCCTGATGATTGATTCCATGGAGCCACAGAAATTGATGCAGCCTTGGTCACGATAATTGTTCCTGGAAGCGTAATAGAAAGTGAGGTGGCGGCAGTAGAGGCATTCATATCCTCTTGCAAGCGTAGAAGACGAGTATTAGCCCGGGGGCGACCTCTGCGGACCCGACTTTGCAGCTGACAGCGAATGTGGCCCGTCAGTTCAGCTAAACTAAAATTGCTGGAGACAGATATTGGAGGCGCGGTAGCAACAGCAGTAACGGTTGTCGGTAGCATTAGCGTGTGCTGACCGAGTGAAATAACATGTGAGGATGCCAAGTAATTGCAAATGGGTGAACATATAACCCTCTCGGGCTTCGAAGTATCCGATATTAGTCTAATATTGGCTGAAGAGAGAGAAGGTTTAAGACCAGCTGAACCACCATCAACATGTTTAACACTGGCGCAATCAAAACTGCCATCAGAAACGGCAGAAAAATCAGCAGCTACTTCGAGATCAATGGAGCCAGCTTCAGTTTGCTCCATCTTAGTAAACCTACGAGCTTCGAGTTCGGTTGTGGTGGTACAAGTGAAAGAGGTCTCCTCAAGCTGCTCAGAATTCCCGGACTGCTGTTCTAATGTGAGGCCCGAGGAAGCATGGGCTGGTGTACTGAATTCAGAGCTGAGTGAGGCTGATGTTGAAGTAGTGAGGCAATGGAGAATGTTCGTCACTTGTATAGGCTGACCATTGGGGTCTGACGAGTCACATGAGATGGGTGTAGCCTGAATAGAGTCTGAGGAAAGGGGTAATGTAACCCCAGCCAGCTTACGTAGGTATTCAACGTCGACGAGCGATGGATGCTCAGTCGAGCTGACAATAAGTTTGCTAAAAGAATGTTACAAAATGGAAATAAATGTTCGAAGTAAAAATAAAGCTATACCTCATTGTATGATGATGAATATGCATAAAGCAGTTAAATGTATGGGTGGCCAGCAAGAATATCACCAACTGGGCCATTGCAGCTGACGCTATCAATGTTGAGGCATTCTGTAATTAAT